GCGAGTGAACTGTCAACGTGGCAAGGTGTCTTTCCTTCCAACACTTTAAGGGGACATCTGAGGAGCTCTTGAAGCAGCTCTACCAGAGAGAAGGCCCTGGATTTGGTAACTTGGGAAGAAACTTACAGGAATCTAAGTCTGTGAATATTTCCCCGCTCCTAGCCGTTTCTCTTCCTCCTGCTGACTATCCACACAGGCATTCTCTGAGTGGTGTATGAGTTCTGCCATACCCAGGAGAGGGCAGTAGAGGCCCACCCAGCTAGGAGAGTGCCTTGCTTTCTAGATGCTGTCCTGGCCTCCCACCCCTTGAACAGCGAGGAGGCAGTCCTTGCTGCATGCTCTGAGTAATGACCAAGACTGACAAGGCCCGCTCTCGCTGGAGCTCACATTCTCAGCCACACAGTAATGAGAAAATAAGCGAACCAGACAGCAGACAGAGAAGTGTAAAGCAAAACAGAGTGATATGATAGAGAATGGTAAGGGGAGTTTAGTTAAATATTTTTTAAATGCCTGGGGGAGACTACTTCAGCTGGATCCAGGACACTGAGAAAGTGACAAGAAGCTACCTAGGACACTGTTGGCTGGCTAAATACTCAATTGCCCAGCCTCCCTTAAAGAGCGGGGCATGTACACAGTTCTGGCCAATGAGATGTTAGTGAAAGTTGGCGGAGTGGGCAGAGGGAAGCTTTTGCTTTCCGGAAAAGAAAGGTTTCACTGGCAGTGTCCCTTCCTGATCCTCCTGCTCCTCCTTGACCATAAGGGAAAGAGGAAACTGCAGAGAGGCAGTTGCTAAACCAGCACCAGCAACCTCCACTTGCAGACCTACTATGTGAAAAAAGCCCGATTTGCGTAACAGAGTTTTACTCTTAACAGTTTTCTCCTCCTTTCCGTGTAGAGCACCCCAACTTGGACCGCCAGCCCTGTGAAGATCTGGGTAAGAGAAATGCAGGCAGAGTTCAAAGACCCTAAAGTGGGAACAACCTTAGCATGTCTTGAGGAAGAGAGAAGAGATGGGTGTGGCTGGAGTCTGGTGGGGCAGATAAAGTCAGAGGTGCAGGAGGTCTTGCAAACCTTTGTAGCCCCTGAGTTTTATTCGAAGTGCATGGAAGACTGCCAGAGGGTTTTAGGAGGAAAAGTGACATACTCTGAAGTAGGTTTCTTAAAAGATCATTCCAGCTCCAACACAGAATGAGTCAGGAATGCAGGCGGGCAGATGCTGCTTTGGAGCTGACTTAGCTGCTCCCATTCCTCTCTTGCCACCTTTTGCTCTAGAAGCTAGAGGAATTCAAGTTCCCTTTCCCAGTCTCTGTTGCACTTGGAGTGAACCACAGGACCCTGGGAGACATAGGTGGGGAGGATTTTCAGAACTTCTTTCCTGATAAAAAAAGGAACAGGCCCAGCTAGTGTAGCTCTCCCTTCTCCCCACCTGGAGTACAGAAATGGCCCGTGGGAGTGCTGGAACTGAGGTCACAAGCTAAGGCTGACAGTGAAAGATGGAAGCCTGGTCTGGGGACCTGTCAGCATCATTAAACCTTTGACTCTTGCTTACTGCCAGACTTAACTTGGTAAGAAAAAGAAACCCTACCTGCATAGGACACTATAAATTGGGTTTTCTGTTACATAAAACAATACATTCTCAGCTTACATAGGGGACATGAGAGTCTGCTAAGACGCGAGTGACATGGTGCAATAAGAGAATGACGGTGACTTGGACTATGGTGATTGTCTCCCCATAGGTCTTTCCAGTCTAGTCTTAGTCTCCTCTAATTTGTCTTCCACAGTATGACACTTTCTAAATACAAGTCTCTTCATCGACTCCTCTTGCCTTAAAATTCTTCGCAGGCTCTCCATTGCCTACATGGTAAGAAACGAACCTCCTTTGCCTAATACTAGTGCCCTTTGTGAGTTGTCCCCACCTTCTTGTCTCCCACTACTCCCACCCTTGCATTTTACACACCCCCAATAAAACCACCCCTAGTGAACATCTCCTACATGCCAGGAACCATCCATTCTTCATCCTTAATCAACAGCCCAGAGAGGTAGGTATTTACACATCTAAGTTTACAGATGAGAAATGTAATGCTAAAGGAAGTGGCTTGGCCAAGACCACACATCTAGTAAGTGATGTGTCAGGATTTAAACTCTGGTCTGATTTCAAAATAGTTCAGAGATTTATTTTCCTTATTTGCCAAGAAGTCTGAAGGCAGGTGATTGCTGGGCTGTTCAGGTGCTCAGAGGTGCTGCCAGGGCCTCAGAGTCTTCTGATCTTTCCTCTGCCACTTCAGAGGACTGGCTCACCCTCCTGTGCTTGCTTGTTGTTTCATGGCCTTAAGATGGCTGCTCAGCTCAACATCACATTCAGGTTCAAATCAGGGAGAAGGGAGAAAAGAGAGGGCTACTCCAGCTTAATCTGTCACACCCCCTCCTATATTTTTGTTATGAAAGCAAAAGCTTTCCTAGAAACCCCCAGCACACTACCAGTAGCTCAGGGACACATGGCTGCCCCTAGCTGCAAGGGAGGCTAGGAAATCAGGGGATGTAATTGTTGTTGGCTTAGCTAAATACAGTCCACCACTTGGGGTCAAGCCCACTGCTGCCCTCAACAAAATTGGCGTTAGCAGGGAAGAAAGAGTGGTGATGAGCAGGCGGCAACCTGCCGCCACCATCCTGTCAGCGGAATGGAAGCATCTGTGGTACCCTGACTGCCCCGTGCCTCTCCCCACATCTGCCTGGCAAATTACATGTCACCTTCTGTGAGCCTTCCCTTACTCCTGCAGGCAGACCTGGTATTCTTTCTTCCACTTTTTCCTATATTGTGTACCTACTTCCATCAGGTATGTACCTGTCCTCATAGCAACCGGTAAATGCGTGCTCATTCAGATACACAAGCATTCATTCTCTCCACAAATGCTTACTGAGTACTTGCTATATTCCAGACACTGCTAGGAGTCAGGAACTTAATCATGAACAAGGTCAATTTTTTAATTTGGTCCCTGCCCTGATGGAGCTTTCAGTCTAACAGGTGAGATATTTAGACAGTTAAGGTCAGGGAAGAAAGCAGCCATCTCCTAGACTAAGCCACTGCGTGGGTCTCTCTGCCTCACCCCCGGGACCTAGCACACACTCTCACAAAGCAGATACACCATGACCACGTGTTAAATGCATTCCTTACTCAGGAAGGCTTTGAAATATATTGTAAAAGAAATGCATTTCTTACATCTACCAGGAATTCTGCCCTCATCCCCAAGCATGAGCCATTATACTCACAGTAATAAATCACGCACATAAGCATCTTATAAAACACTGCCCTCTCCCCATGTTGCAGGTTGCTTCTCCCAAGAAAGGTTCCAAGAGTCTGATATAACACTTCACATCAGAGGCCTCAGTGGATGTGTTTTTTGAAGACTTTGTTAGGATTTTCTCAACAGAGCCATAGCCACTGATGTGTGATTCTGAAAGCACTTAAAATAGTGTCTCGGGTCCCTATTCCATAGCTTATTATGGGTAGTTTTCAATAGTTACCTAAATGCCCTGTTTTGTTGTCCTTTCTACTGCAGCTGAGAACAAGACAGGCAGAGAAGGGAAATACAGTCTCTCTTTGGGCTGTTCTTCGGTTGCCACAGTGATGTTGACAAGTGACACACAGGTGCCAGGTCTTTATACAGTGGAGCCAGTGCGTGGTGGAGGCCAGGCAAGACATAAACAGGCAACATCCATGCCTCTCAGCCTGGAAAGGAATTCCTAAGGCTAACTGGCCCATTCTCCTGCCTCTTAGCTGAAAACCAAATGGATGGCGTCTTGTTTCTAAAAGTCCTCAAGAACTAGGTCTACCACCTCTCTGAGTCACCTGTTAGGCTCACACTACCCAGTATTCATTGACCCTGAATGGGTTTTCTATGTCTAATCTCATTCTCTTTTGGTGTCCTTCCAGCCCAATTCCTCTTATTGTTTCTATGGAAATAAAAGTTAATCACCTGTACACTCTGAACATAACCCAGGAAGTAAGATAAAGAAAAAACAAAAGCTACTGCTGAAAGGTGGACTCTCTTTCAGTACCGCCACGGCCAACAGTGGGCCTCAGGGTCTCCACCCCTGTTCTCTCATCAGGTCTTGGCTCTGGGAGAGGGTGGTCTGGAGAGGTGGGGAGTACACAAATTGAGGCACATGTAGAAACAGCCTGCTGACCTGACTGAGAGGCCCATTGGCTGCCACCAAAAGAGAAACGGGCCTAGGGACGGAGCAGCCCTCCCACGAAGGATGCCTTCCTCCTTCTGAGTGAAATAAAGCAGAGAGAGCAGGAAGGTCTGTTTTTAATGAGTATCTTTAAAAGCTTTTGCAAAGCAGACAGAGCCCAGGCAGCCTGGAAACCCACACTGATGACAACAGGACTCTCACTTCCAGATGCCCTGCAAACAGAAATGGTTCTGCTAAATCAGGAGTGTGGCTTTCTCCCACCTCACATTAAAAAGGAAAAAAAAACCCCCAACCTTCAAAATCACTTCAGAAATCATCCTGCCTATAAAATGTGTGATAGCCCTAATAGCCTAGGCTGGTTCGAAGGGCAGGGGAGCAGGAAAGCGCCCAATCCAAGATGCAACGAGGGCAAGTGCCCCCACCACCAAGGACATAAGGAAAAGGCGTCTGCAGGAGTGCTCTGGACTTCTGCAGCTTGAAAGCAAGGCCTTGATACTAGCAGGTCCCCCTCCACCCCCCATTTCCTTGTCCCTCTCTCTACGTCTGACTCATATTTACATTCCCTTCATCCGTTTCACCAAAGTAAGGAGACAAATGTCTCTTTCTGCCACGGATATGCTAGACAAACCCTGGGCCCCTCTTCACAGTCTCTCATCCCCCAAAATAGTGTCAAGAAAACCAAACACTTGCATGAAACCTCTCTCTGGAGTCTCCATTTGCTTTCTTTCACACTCTGGGCCCAGGAGCCAGCGCTTATTTTCACAAGAGTAAAGGAGCCTCTGTCTGCAAGTGAGGTTAACACCCACCCCCAGGCTGGATTCTTTCTGGTCTCTCTCAACAGCTGAGCATCAGGATTCTGCTAATTAAGCCTCTTTCTTCTCCTTAATTAGCTGCATGTGAATCTTGTTGGGAAGTCTTGGATCCGTGAAATAGTCTGGGATAAGAATCAAAAAGAAGAAATCATCTAAACCCAAGGGACAAAGATGGGGGGGAACAGCTTACTCTGCTAAAAAGTTAGGAAGGCTTGGTCTTAGCAGGCCTGGTACTGGTGGCCCCGCCTTACAACGTAATATGAGATGTCACAGCAAATCCTGAGTTCACTACCCCCCAATGAACCCCCTCCCCCAGCAGCTCTGAGCCTGCCAGCGCCAGTGTTCCCAAAAGCGCTTACACAGGATGGCTCCCATCCCCTGTCCCCGCCACACTGCCCGTCCTTGGCTTGCTGACGCACAGGGAGCCATCAGAGGGCTGAGGAAGCCTCTGGGTTTTCTGCTCCCGGCTCATCTTGGGGCCCAAATAAATGCCAAGTGTTATTCTTGTCTCAACTCGGCTTGCCAACTCCTGCTCTGAGATCTCACGCCCGCTCCGAGAACATCCTCTCAGAGGAGAGCCAGGCTCTCGGAGAATGACGACAGAAGAGGCTTGAGACACACGGCACAAGGTGAATCAGGCAGAATCTGCGGTGGCAGCAGACGCACTTAGACTCAGAAAGGGCGGGAGGGTGTAACCAACTCCCAGGGCTCAAGGGCCCAAGAAATCACCCAGCCCGGCCCTCGCCTCTAAATACCATTGACCTTAAGCCATCTCAGGGCAGTGGAGCCCATTAGAGTCACCGGGGAGCCTTTAAAACTGGAGGCTGAGCCCCACCCCAGACTAATTAAGTAAAACCCTCTGGAGGCAGGCCTGGGCCTGGGTATTTTAAAAGCTCCCCAGGTGATTCTAATATGCAGCTGGTGGAGAGCCCAGCTTTCAGGTTCCCAGGGAAGGAGCTATGACCATGTCCCTTTGGAAATCTCAAAATTCTGACCCTCACCACGAAGCTCTGCCTCATTTCTCACCTGTCCTCATTTTGAGGACATGACAAAGGACGAATGAGCCTCCTGAAGAAAACTCCCTTGGGGGCCATTGGGTGAAGACATACCCCAGACTCCAGGGAGAATCCTGAGTTTGTCTGAGTCTAAATTCACAGTAACGCTCCTTGGGCTCGTTTATCTAACACCCCAAATGGACATCGCCTTACTCACCTGCGGCAAATTCTCGGATGTTGTCTGGCCTCTTCAGAAACATCTCCCTGGAAAACATTAGAGGGTAGAGGTAGGTAGGAAAGCAGGCTTTATGGCAGGCGGCCATGGCCGCAGGTCTGGCATGGTCAGGGCAGTTGTGCCACAGCCAGAGGAAGCCTGTCACATGTTCAACACATGTTCACAGAACCAGAGACCTAGCCAGGGGCGGGCAGCAAAGATGAAGTGCGAGCTGCCCATCCTGAGGAGCCATGGCACAGATATGCAACCCCAGGATCTAAGTTTCACCATGAATTCCCATGAGGAGGGGTGGAAATACAATAAAGCAAAGCTGAGGAGGTAGACTTAAGAAGGTCAGTGGCCTCCAGTCCAGCAGACAGAGCCTATGATGGCACCTGAGGTCCCAGTGCCACTGGGGAGTCAAAAACGCTTACCTCGCATGTAGTTTTACGGTTCATAAAGTATGTTCACAAATACATCTCACTTTACAACAACCCAGTGAAAGTTATGTCATTTTACATGTAAGTAAACCAAGCCTCCAAAAGGTTAATTATTTGCCCAAGTTCATGAAGTGAGAAAAAGAGAGAGGCGCAGGTTTTGTGATTCCAAGGCCCAGCCTCACCTGCCTAGAAGGCCTTGCCGACCCAGGAAGCCCCTGCTCCTCAAGCAGTAAGAATTTTGTTTCCCACCCTGGCCAGTTTTGCTCAGTGGTTAGAGAGCAGGCCCACAGACCAAAGGGTCACAGGTGCAATTCTCAGTCAAGGGCACATACCTTGGTTGCAGGCTCGTGCGGGGGGCAACCAGTCAATGTGTCTCTCTCACATCGATGTCTGATGTTTCTCTCCCTCCCTCCCTTCCACTCTCCTGAAAAAAAAATCAATGGAAAAATATCATCACTTAAGAATTAAAAAAAAAAAGTGCTGCTTCCCTTCTCCTCTAATTCAGTTTGAGAATTAGTGAGCACAAAACTGTGTAAATAACTGTACTAGATGAGAGAGACTGGTATATTTTTAACGATAAAATGTATCCCCATCTCAAAGAAATTACAGTCAAGTAAAAGGCAATGAGCAAGTTCCCAAATGTCCAAAAGGCCCCCTCCAGGAAGTGCTACAAGAGGATATTATGGGCTGGGACATCAGAGAGAGGTTACTGGCAGCAGGACCCCAAAATCTCCACAGAGCTGGCACTTGTGAGGACCCTTGGGGTGTTCATGGGATTTCAGTGCAGGATAAGGGCTGAGGAACAAGAACATTCCAGACCCAGGAAGCCCCAAGAGCAAAGAGTCGGAAATGAAAATGGCCACCGTTCTATAAGTGGTGAACTCCCCTAGGGTAGGTACTGGGTTGTATCCACCTTTGTACCCCCAGGGTCCAGAAGAGCACTCAAGGAGTGTTAGTGCCCCTCCATGAGGGCAGTGGAATGATCTGGGAGGTCCAGTCTGGCTGGAGTAGGGAGCACAAGAAGGGTGTAGTAGGAAGCGAAGGAGGCTCCATTACGGGGTCATGAAGGCCAGGGAGAGACATTTATACTCAATTCAAAAGACAGTGGCAATGCATAAATAAAGCCTGGCATAGTCACACGTGGAATACACTACAGAAAAGGGAATGGGGATCTACAAGATACTGTTGGGCAAAAGAAGCTGGGCACAGTAGAGTACAGACTGTAGAAATCCACTTATATAAAGGCAAAACAGATCTGTGCTATTAGAAGTCAGGATGCTGGCTACCTTTTGGGGGGAAGTGACTGGAAGGGGCCACAGAGGCCTGAGGTGCTAGTCAGGTTCTCTTCCTTGATCTGGATGCCAGTGCCATGTGTACTCTCGGCTTGTGAAAGTTAGTATATGCAACTTTTCTGTACTTTGTATTTCAATAAAATGTTAAAAAAAAAAAAAAAGCAATGGTGTGGATCCACCAAAGATATTTCCAGCTGAGGAATGATACGATCAGCGCTGCTTTGGGGAGGATTCATCTGCCTGGGTATTTACAAAAACATTTAATAAAGCCTTTCTAAAACGTCGCCCTTTGCTATCATATCTCCAGCCTAAAACCTGAACTGTCTGGGTGCCTAAAATAAGTGAGATCCCTACTCTTTCCATTTTCAGGTTCAAAATTCAAGGTATTGAGAGTTCTGTACACTGTAAGTATAGACTGGACAGCTGTGGCTGAATGGCCATAAATCCCTAGGATCAGAAAACCGAACTGGGGTGCTTGCTTCCCAAAAAAAAAACAGCTCGGAGCTTCTGGTGGCTTGGAGTGAGCCTAGAGCAGAGACGTGCACCACAGGTGAAGATAGGTGTGGCGTCCAGGATTCTGTCCCCTCCTCTGCCTTCCCCTTTTTCACTGCAAGGATCATCTGAAGCATCCAGTACAGAAGAGGGATCAATTCTGGCTCATCCTAGCACCACCCAAAGGAAGTAACAGTAACACCAACCAAACAAGAGCAAACCAAACTTCAGACACTTCCTCTCCCCCTCCTGCCCTCTTCATTCACCACCCTCAAGGACTCTAATCCTTTTGTTTGTGTGAACAACGCAGACCTCGATTTAATTAAAGCTTTTAACGCCTATCTCCAAGCTCCCTGCTGCAATCATTCCTAACTTGGATTGCAAGCTCCCCAGGATAGGAAGTCTGTTGTCCTTATCTCCCTTTAGAAGAAAAGGTACAAAAAGTGATAGCCGGATCCCCAGGGCCGACAGTGACAGAGGGTCCCCTAAATTATTTGCCCAGGCCTTACCACTGGCCCCAATAAAACCAGCCTTCACAGAAAGTCAGTTTTTCCCTTTCTCTTTCCCCTCCTGACCTCTGAGAATCTGCTGCCACTTGGAGAAATGGCTAAAATATAAAGAATAGTGAAATCCAGGGAAAATAAAGGGGCCTGGGGAAAAAAGACACCTCTCCAGGTCTTCTTTTGAGAAAACAAAGGAGAGCCCCACCAGCTTCCCAGCTCCCATACAAAGCAACACAGTTGGGTCCTGGGTTTGGGTCCTGATTCAGCAACTTAGAGAAGGTACTTCACCTCTCAGAACCTAACTTGAAAGCCTGTAAAATGGAAATGATAATAAGCTATCTTTTGTAGAGTCACTGGGAGGATCAGCAAGAGTGTACCAAGATGCCATCACTGTGTGGGCACTGGGGACACCAAATATGGCTCCACCAGCGTTGGAGCTTTGGTTCAGGAAGAGAAACAGAAGACTGACAATACAATTACAATAGAATGTGATAACTAAGGTAGGAAACCAACACAGTGCCTGCCCGTGAGAGCCATTATCGTTATTGAAACCTTGCCTATGTGCCTACAGCCAAACAGCATTTGAGAGAGTTCTACTTTTCATGCTGCTCCATGATTTCCTCCCCACCCTCAGTCCTTTGTCTTTTATCCCATTAGGAGATTATTCTATTGAAACAAATGCCACACTGAAAGGCAGTGTGGGGGAAGGAAAGAACCAGCTCTGGGATACTGGAAAATGGTCTTTTCCCCAAGACGTACAGAGGAGTGAGTCCCACCTCGAGTCTTTCCACAGCTACGTGCTCAGGGAGGGAAGGGCCAGACCCCTGAACTTTTAGAGTCTCTGACCGAGAATAACTTTCTACACCCGATGGCTGCCTGTTGGGCTTCTCAACGCCCAAGTCCTTCTTCCAAGCGTCAGTCATAAGGTATGTAGTTACCCTTCCAGCTACAGTGAATGAACATTAATATTTTTGAGAATTTAGAGATAACTGAAGGAAACCTCCAGAGATAACTCAAGAAAACCTCGGGTGCCACAAATCCCAGAGTTGGGAAAAATTAAACCTTGGGGTATTCTGTAGCTTTCAGGCCCGACAGGAAGCACTAGGGAGTGCTTCAAGAAGGGGTCGCTGGCATCGACCGTCCCCAGGCCTCCACTGGCTGCTCGGCGCGGGGCTGGGCACCGCCTACCTGAAAAAACCACTTAGGAGCAGCTCCACTTCTTTGTGGGTTCTTAGGTACTTTTCGTTGGCAATCCGCGTCTGAATCTGGGGACAAGAGCAAAATGTCACGCTCCTGAGGAGGCAGCTTTCGGGGGTCAGGCCCTGGGTGAGAGGGGCTGGGGCAGCTGCGCGCGCATCCGCCCGGGTCTGTCCGCGGGTCCCGGATGGTCCGAGCGTCTCCGCGCTCCCGCTCCGGCCCAGGCGCCCTCCCTGAGCGCGGGTCTCCGCGTTGGGGGTACCCGGTCTGGAGCTCAGTGAGCGCACCCGGCAGTAATTTCGGTCCATTTCTCTGTCCAGACCCCTATTTTAGTTCTCCCTGCACTGTGAGGCGCCTGCCGGAGCGCTGTTCAGGGATCCGCCGGGGTTCTCCCCGAGCCTTCGCCCCTGCATCGGGAACAGGCCCCCTCTCCCGGCGTCCTCCCCCCCTGCCTGCGCCCTTGTCCTGGGGAAGCTGCACTCGGGGGGAGGCGCACCTACCTTGAAGTTGCGCAGCTGCTCCAGCTGCGCGGGGCTCAGCGCCCCGGGGTCAGGCCCCAGCTGCCCGCCCTGCAGCGTCGCCATCTTGTCGCGGTCGTCAAGGCGACGGGCTCGCGGGTCAGGCCCCGCC